GCAGCTGGGCAGCCTGCCCGGCCCACGCAGCAAACTCGGGCAAGGGGGAGTGTTGTGGGCAGCCCCCGTCTCAGCCCGGCCCCCCCACGCAGGACCATGGCCGCCCTGAGCCTGGCCCGGCTCTGGCTGGGATGGGCCAGGCCTGCCCCCGGCTCTGGCACGACGGGTGCACAAGGCCAGCGGCATCCTGGGAAATGCGCTTTGCCCCGTCACTCCTCCTGGAGATGAAGGAACAGACTCTCCCTGCCCCCCGGCGCCCGCCGCTGGCTGCTACCCCCTCACTCGAGGTAGCCGTGGTGCTCCCGGGGCTGGGTGCCCCTGCGGCGCTGGCACAGACGGGATGGCGCCCCGCTCCCCTTCCTCAGCGCGTGGCACTTCCAGGCCTCAGCGATGCACTCGACCTGTGGGGGGTGATACCAGGGGTTGCTGCGGTGCCAGCCGGTCCGAGCTGGACACAGGGCCAGGCACCTGGGCTTTGGGGGCAGGACAGGGCCAAGAAGTGACAGGGATGGAGAGGGCGAGGGGGCTGGGGCCTGGCATAGGGGGCCATGGGGCAGGCGTCTGGGTCAGTGCCGCAGATGTCCCTGACCGCAGTCCCTTGGCATCTCTCGCCAGCCTCTCCCCGCCCTGGAGGCACTGTCCAGACCCACCCCAAGGGGCGGCCCGAGGGCCTGCAGCGGGTCCCATGTCCCCTGCCCCCAATGCCTTAGGCTGGCCAGGCCTTCCCAAGGGCCCGATCTCAGCCTGGGGCGCGTGGACAGATGGACACAGACACAGACGGGGTGCATGGCCAGACGGACACAGACAGACAGACGGACATAGACAGATGGACGTAGACAGCCAGGGCCACAAGGACAGACAGATGGACACAGTCACAGCTGGGGCGCACGGACAGGCAGATGGGCACAGACCGACACAGGCAGACGGCCGCAGCCAGATGGACACAGACAGACAGACACAGACGGACACAGCCGGCCGGCCCCTCACCGGGATGAGAGGATCCCTCTGGTTGTGGCTCTCCAGGGCTGCCAGCTCGCGGGGCGCGAGCAGAGGCAGGCGGAGCTCACGCACCGGCCCCGCTGCCACCTCGGCCACCGGCCGCTCCAGGACAGCCTGGAACAGGAGTGCAGGGTCAGGGGCCGAATCCATGATCTGGGGAGCCAGCGGGGGGGTGGGGAGTGGGGATGATCTGGGGAGCCAGCGAGGAGGGGGGATGCAATCTGGGGCCTTTGACCCCAGGGTGGCAGGACCCCCCCAGTGCTTTGGTAGCCAGTGGGAGATGGGCCGGGTGTCTCGGCCAGGTTCCCAGGTGATGGGGGCCAACATCACCAGCCAGCACCATCTGCCCTCCTGTGTGCCCTCCAGTCCCCCCCTAGGCATCCCAAAGGACAGACCTCTGGCATCTCACCCTCAGGGCAGACGGGAGCACTGGGGGTGGGCAGGGACTGGCATCACCTGTGCTTGTGCCCAGAGATTGGGGCCTGGGTGGCAGCTGGAGCCTGGCAGCTGGGGACAGGTGCCCTCACCTGGGACACCCAGGGGCCCTGCGCTCTGCTTCTCCAGGGTGGGCTGGGGGGGAGGTGGCTGGCAGCCAGGACACCTGGGTTCTATCCCGAGCTCTGGGAGGTGAGTGGGGGGCAGAGGGATCTGGCAGCCAGGACACCTGGGTTCTCTCCTGGCTCTGGGCAAAGAGTGGGGTCTACGGGTTAGAGTCGGGAGGGGGGTCCATTCCAGCTCTGCCATGCACTCACTGGGTGACCAGGGGCACATCCCTCCCCCCTGCCAGCCTCCCCATGGTGGGGGCTGAGATGCCTGCAGCAAGCCCCTGGCTTGGTGAGCCCCAGCTCCTGGCCCTGGGGACCGCCGGCACTCACCGAGCTGACGTGGGCCCATTCCCGCACAGCCTGGATCAGGTCCGGTTCGTCGATGGCCAGCCGGTCGCTGCGCAGCACGGCCACCAGCGCCGCGGCCGACAGCTCGTGGAAACTCCGTGTCTGCACCACCTCCTGCGGCACCGCAAACGGGCCGGGTCACCCCTGGCAGCGGGCCTGACCCCACCTGGCACGGGGCGGGCACAGAACCTCTCCCCACACCACCCGGGCATGTACCCTGCCGCCCACCCCATCCCCATCACCCCCTGTCCCTGTCCTACTAGCCCTCTGCCCCGCCCCCATCCCACCACCCCTGCCTTGCCCCATCCGTCCCCCCTCTGCCCTGCCCCCATCCCACCACCCCTGCCTTGCCCCATCCGTCCCCCCTCTGCCCTGCCCCATCCCACCACCCCT